AGGATCTTGCTCAGTCTGGCAGCCAAGTACAATCTCACGGTGCACCAGATGGATGTGAAGACGGCGTTCCTGAACGGCTGGCTGGACGAAGACATCTACATGGTGCAGCCGGACGGCTACGTTGACGAGGCGCACCCGGAATTCGTGTGCAAGCTCAAGCGTTCGCTTTACGGCCTCAAGCAGTCGCCGCGAATGTGGAACCAGACCATCGACAAGTTCATGCTGGAGCTGGGGTTCAAGAAGTGTGAGGCGGATCACTGCATCTACGTCAAGCGTGATGACCAAGACATGATCTTCGTGGCGCTGTACGTGGACGACTTGATCTTGGCAAGCAACAACGACGAGCTGCTCAAGTCGACTAAGGAGGCACTCAGTGTGCGGTTCGAGATGACGGACATGGGTCAGCTCAAGTACTTCCTCGGCATGGAAATCGATCAAGATCCCAAGACTGGAAATGTGTCGGTGCGACAGACCAAGTTTGCGAAGGACATCCTGGAGAAGTTCAGCATGGACAACAGCAACTCTGTCAAGACACCACAAGACCCGGGACTCAAGTTGACCAAAGCCATGTGCGAAGGAGGTTGCAAGCACGAAGAAACCATGGCGAAGGTGCCGTACAGGAACGCTGTTGGGTGTCTGATGTACCTGATGGTGGGAACTCGGCCGGACCTCGCAGCCGCAGTGGGAGTTCTCAGCCAGTTTGCCGCGGATCCGTGTCCAACACACTGGCAAGCGCTCAAGAGGGTGTTCCGCTACATCCAAGGCACAAAGACGCATGGCATCGTGTTTCAAGCTGGCAGCGAGGACGGACTCCAAGGCTATTCGGATGCGGACTGGGCCGGTGACATCGAGACTCGACGGAGTACAAGCGGCTACGCGTTCATGATGAACGGCGGATGCATCAGCTGGAGAAGCAAGAAGCAGCGGACGGTGGCGCTATCGTCGACGGAGGCAGAGTACATGGCATTGACGGAGGCTACGCAAGAGGCTATTTGGCTCAAGGCATTTCTGTGCGAGATCGGCGAGATGGAGACCAAGTCGGCAGTCAAGATCTACGAGGACAACCAAGGTTCCATCGCGCTGGCCAAGAACCC